CCACATATATATATATATATATATATATATATATATATATATATATATATATATATATGTATGTATGTGTATATATATATTTATATATATATATATATATATATATATATATATATATATATATATATATATATATATATATATATGCGTATGTATGTATAGAATATATCTATATATATATATATATATATATGTGTGTGTGTGTGTGTGTGTGTGTGTGTGTGTGTGTGTGTGTGTATGTATATATATAGATTATATTTCCAACGATCTCAACGTGGTGAACTACACACCGTATCATCCTATACTACTAGTTAGCGGGACTGAACTATCTATTTTATTACAGATACGCGTGCATGTACATCTGTGATATTAACAATACAATATAACATGCTCAAAAAACATGTAAACAGGACTACCGGTGTACATTGCAGTCAACACTCACAATAACTTACCAACAGTTGTATCTATGCTCCTGACAGTCATAGTGTATAGACTTTTGGCCGTTCGCAACATGGGATTGCCTGCTGCCGTCGCAGCACTTGAGTCCATTTGGCTCGCACTCGAACTCAGAACTAACTTCGAAGACTTTGCATTGTCAGCCACAAGCTCAGTGTCCTCACCCTCTCCAGAGTATACTGATATACTATCCGCACGAGTCGTACCACTGTCAACAATAGTATCCGGATGACTGCTTGTAAGTGCACTGATACTACCACTCGCTTCCAAAGCCTCCATATACGTCTTTAAGCCACTAGGCTCTGTAGTACCATGTGCGATGGCCTCGTGTGGCTCTGACGGTGATACATCTTGTGTATTGTGTGTAGCACTAACTGGTTGATCAGTGGATGTGTCTCCGCCGAAGGCTTCACGTGTCTCTGAGAGTGTATCTAGTGTATTCTGTGAAGTATTTTCAATCTGATCTATGTTTGTATCTTCGTCCCCTAATTGATGACTATCTGCCTCTACACTTTCGCTTATCTCATCATTGTGCTGTGTTTGGGTAGGAGCGTATACTGTGTCTGCCTCAGAGTCTAAATGTGTATTATTTGTATCAGTTATGGTATCGTTTTCAGCGTGTGTAGTGCTCTCTAATTGTTTATCACTGTCCATATCCACCGTGTTACTTGTACTTGTATCTTCATTCCCATTTGAATCCGTAAGCGTGTGGATGATGTGGTTGTGGGTGCCATCAGTGCTGTCTCCATCTCTACTGTGTACTGCCTTTGTTGAATCTATTATCTCACTGCTTACGAATTTTATTCCGTCTGTACTAAATGTGTACTTCTCGTCTTTGTCACTATCTAATGCAACACCTGTAGGTCTGGGTGCGGGCCCTGGTGCAGCCTGAATGCTAGTATCCGACATGATGATATATATATATATATATATATATATATATATTTTACGTATATATTTATATATATACAGAACTGAAGGCCAAAGGAGTGATTGTTGTCACCTTATTATTACTCGCAGCATGTCTTGTCAACAGTGGTCGCGTGTGTGTATTGTAGCCGATGTATTGAAAGAACTTGACGATATTCTATGGATAGTTATAGTTTAGATACATATAGCACATGATGCCTGACAGATGTCTACACACGGATACGAGGCTAAATACTCGGCACCAGATACACCTTGTACACAAAGTATAAAACCCGCGTAGTAAACGTTTTTTAAACGTAACCGCAGCCAGGTTAGAACTTCATACGCTTTAACGTAATTAATATGAACTATTTAAAACTGCTCACATAAACACTGACGCAAAAACGATGGATTTCAAACCGTTTTAACGAGGATTTATCTGCGCCAATATGTGCATTTGGTTTTTATTGAAACAAAATGTTGATGACTATGTAAAAAATAATTATATGTGGAGTTGCAAAGATTATCATATGTTTTTTAATACGATATAGATCCATCCAATAAAATGATAGTTGTCGACGAGCAAACCTTTTTCCGTACCGTATACGTTGAACGTGCATGCATAAAGGTTTTGGTATTTTTAAACGTTTAAAGGCCGAAGTGGGATTGAAAGGATCTAACCTACTATGAATGATATTCGGATAACAACAGACTAACATTGATATATACTGCACCTCAGATCCTAAAAGGTGCACCTGTAATTATCAAAAAGGACTATACCGAAGTAAACGTTAAACGAAAACGTATAATTCATAAATTTTTATACGTTCTAACGAAAAACGTCATAAGGTTAGCGAACGGGTCATCGCGAGTCAAAAAAGCATTGCACACAGATTAATATGATATGATATGTCCCGTTATTCGATATACTTGATCAGTGAGATCTAAGCAGCGTTAAAGTTTTATGCAAACCTACAGCCAAACAATGCTATCGCACTTACCAGTGTCCACCATATTTGTGGTGGTTTTCGACGTTCACGTGTATGTATTGAGTAGTGCCTACTCGAGAAAGTGTGCTCATGTCAACTCAACTCAAAAACTGTATTGAAAACATATATTGTTTCATTTTTAATAACACAAATTTACATATTTGTGTGCACACGTATGTGTGTGTGTGTCTGGTGTATGTGTTTTTGAGTGTATATGTGGTTATGTATGCTTGAGTTTGTGTGTGAGAGTGTGTCTCTGCGTCTGTCGGAGTATGGGAGTATGTGTAGGTGTGTATGTGTTAGGTTCTATATATATATATATCTATATATATTTATAAATATATCTATATATATTTATAAATATATCTATATATATATATATATATATATGTGTGTGTGTGTGTGTGTGTGTGTGTGTATATATATATACTACT